TGTGAGCAAGCTAAGTCGATTTACAGTTAGTCCAAATGAAAATCATTGGAAAGCTATGAAACGTTTATTGGGCTACTTAAAGCATACTCAAGATTATGCTTTGCATTACACATAATATCCAGCGGTACTTGAAGGATACTGTGATGCAAATTGGATAACCGGCACTAAAGACACAAAATCGACAAGTGGATATGTATTCACACTTGGGGGAGCGGCAGTGTCTTGGAAATCATCCAAACAAACTTGTATTGTTAGATCCACTATGGAATCAGAATTTATTGCTTTGGATAAAGCCGGTGAAGAAGCAGAGTGGCTTCAAATTTCTTGGAAGATATTCCTAATTGGCCTAAACCAAAGGCCCGCTATTTGTATACATTGTGACAGTCAAGCGGCAATAGGAAGGGCAAGGAATGTCATGTATAACGGTAAGTCTCGACACATACGTCGAAGACATGACACAGTAAGACAACTTCTTTCTAGTGGAATTATCACCGTTGACTATGTGAAGTCAAAAGATAATATTGCGGATCCATTGACAAAAGGCCTAACTAGAGAGATGGTTGCAAAAACATCAAGGGGAATGGGTTTAAGGCCTATAAACAAGTCATCATAGCGGAAACCCTACCTAGTTGATTGGAGATCCCAAGATCTAGGTTCAAAGGGACAACTAAGTTATGAAGACAAGGAGATCGTCAAATTTTTACTCATTCCCGGATGAAGACAGTACTAATATGTGAAAGGTTAAGCAAAGGCTTTTAATGATTCTGAATTGAATATGTGATATACTATATGTTCAGAAATCACCTATGTGAGTGTGAAGTGAGGGCCGCTTCTGTGAGAATTGAAAAGTCCGAATTCTCTAAAACACTCATGAGACCAGGCGGTGTTCATGGCCAAAACGAACACAACAGTGAGAACCAATTTTGTTCGAGAAACAGTTGTGTGATTTCTATTGTCTAGGCTTACACCAAAGGTCGACAGTTCAAAGACATCAAGTCTACTGATTGACTGAGTAAGTCCGATAGGTTTCACTAAGGAAAGTTCAAGGTCTCAGACTACTTATCCTGATGCAACGTTTTCTCATGGAATAATCGCACATTGCATCTCATGCATACACGAAGAGTCGTGATATCTGAACTTCTCATTCATGTGGGGGATTGTTGGGATTTGTCACCAAAATCCCATAGAATTGAATGCGAAGTGTGTGGGTGAAAGTGTCCCACATAGGGTAGAAGAGAGATGGGAGATGGGTTCAAATAGTTGAGCCTCACAAATGGGTTTGGGCCCCAAGGGGTACCCCACTTTTGTGGAAGAGAGAGGACCTACGTCAAGCTAGGTCGGTCCGCGCGCCGCCGCCGTCCGTCCGGCCGGCCGGCTCGGTTCGGTTCCGGGTCCACTCTCTATCGGTTTTTTATTTTTTATTTTTCGAACAGACAAGTTGTTTAGAAATTATTTATTTATTTATTTTTTGGACAAACAAACATGTCTGTTCGTGAGGTTCGGTTCGCCCGAACGAAAACCGAAGCCCTTTCGCGCGCCTGTTCACGAACCAAACCGGTTCAAGGCTCGGCTCGTGACTGTTCACGTAGAACCGAACGAAATTGTTCGGTTGGTGACTCTTCAGTTTCATCCTTCTATATCCGAAATTCCTTGGTGACTATTCATTATAAATATATATGACGAATTGAACATTTCGGAAGACTCTTGGCATTTTCATCTTTTCACGGCATTCTGCTGCACTCTCATTCTTCATCGTTGTCATCTTTTGTGCGATTATTCTGCGAACTTACGTTCGAAGATTTCCTTTGAAGAAGTACCGCTTCATAGGAAAGGCGATCCGTTCTATCCTGGGAGGCAATTGTTCAACGACCTTTGGGTACCGGTAGAGGGGACAAATTGTCTTAAGGACACAACGTGAATTCGTTGGGCTCGGATCAATCGTCAAATTCGGATCACTCATTTCAGGTTTGTCAAACAACTTTACTTTATATGCACATACAAACACGTGTATAGTGAACAACACAATTCAGACTCATGAAGAGAGAGAGAGAGAGAGAGAGAGAGAGAGAGAGAGAGAGAGAGAGAGAGAGAGAGAGAGAGGAAAGGGTAGTGCAGATCAAGCGGCAAATGGGTAAACTAGGTGGAATCAATACATAGATACAATACTTCTCTATCCCGCTCTTGGATGGGGATTAATTCATAAGTTATCCACATAATTCATTCGAGTGCAATTATGCATGAGGAGTCATATATGTTAATTACCTGTACAACCTTGGATTGGATCATAGGGATTCCCCTCGTACCCATCCTTGCAAACGCAGCGGTAACCCCCTACATTCCCAAAGTCGTCGCATTCCGTGTTTTTGCCTTTGCCTGCACAGGCAAAGCTCGACTGGTTCGACCTGGCCTTGTCGCAAGTCTTGTTCTCTGCGACCATCCATTCCAGATAAGCGGTCACGTTATTGAACGTGGTGTTGTTGAGCATCGGAATACTCCTCCTGTAGGCAAGCAGCAGTTGAGTATCGTTATGTTCTTCCGGGAGGCTGACGGCCATGGCCGACTCGTCAACAAAGATTTCGTGTATCGTAACATTTCCCAACAGTAGTTGGTGAGCGTTGGTGCAATTGAGCAAAAAATCTCTGGATCTCGCATGACTGATTTCGAGCCTGAACGGATAAAGGTACTTCCACGTCCCCACAACACGGGGGTGAGCAGGGCTTCTTCCGAGCGCCACCTTGTCGCAACCACCAGGCCACAGCCAACGTTAGAAGCCAATGCACTACCTTCATTTCCACTATATTTGTCCGTTTCGGGACCTTTGTGCTTCTGCCCTTGTGCACAGAGTGGGAGCCAAGTGCGACCAACCCATTATATACACATCGACAAATTGGTGAAATTAAGTACAATAATGGAGGGCGGAAGGGCAACTTTTGTCAATATAACAAATTAGAGGGACCCAATTGCATATATCAAGAAATGAGAATGAAAAAAAGAAAAAACGATCAAGAAATGAGAATGAAAAAAAGAAAAACGATATACAAAGGTTCCACGCATAAAGGTTAATGCGCCGTCAGCCCTTGTCGTAGTGAAAAGCATGGTCGCAGTGTCTGAAATGAATACATGATTGTGATGTTGAGGCCAATTAGCAAACTTTGCTCTATCTTGCATGTAAGAAGAAACCCAGTATACATAGTAATGAGAAATTCTAAATGCATGAAGAACTCCCAGTAAAACTTTTTTAGTAAGTAATATGACAAGTTTCAATTGAGCATTCAAACAAGTGAGGTCTATTCTTTGAATGTCTGGCTTGTTAGAAGCCAACAAAAAGTTGCCACATTAGTTGCTATAAAATTTTAGAGCGCCGCTAGCAAAATGGTGGCCTTTATGTTTTAACATGCTGGTCACATATATCAACCACAAGTTCCACTATAGGAGAATGGCCAACCGGCTTGAAAGGTTAATCAAACTCAAGGCAACACTAAGATGGCCCCATAATTGTGATAAGATTTAAACATTTTATTATAGTTATGTTTAAGTCGGTCTTACAATATCGAACTTGGAATTTGGTGCTATTTAGAGAGTACATCTACTAACATATAAAGAGGAACCCAAACACTACAAAAAAAAAAAAAAGTATTTAGCCATGGAAAATTAGTGACGAAAGCAAATTCGTCGCTAATTTGTAACGGAAATAGCGATGAAAAGTAATTCGTCGCTAATTAGCAACAATTGTTGCTAATTTTGCAACGAATATATGTTCGTCGCTAATTATAATTAGCGACAAACTTTAATCGTCGCTAATTGAGCGACAAACTTTATTCGTCGCTAACTTAGCGACGTTCCTTATTTGTTGCTAAATTGGTCACTAATTGGTGATAAACACTATTCATTGCAAAAATTTTTATTAGCTGAATTGTTAATGTAAAAGGTCGTAGCTAATTTTGTCGCTAATTTGCGACGGAAGTAGCGATGAAAAGAATTCGTCGCAAAATTAGCTACGAAATTTAGGTTCGTCGCAAAATTTTTTATTTGCTGAATTGTTAATGTAAAAAGTTGTCCCTAATTTCGTCGCTAATTTGCGACGGAAATAGCGATGAAAAAGAATTCGTTGCAAAATTTTTTTATTTTCTAAATTATTAATGTAAAAGGTCGTCGCTAATTTCGTCGCTAATTAATGAAAGAGAATTCGTCGCAAAATTAGCAACGAATTACATTCATCGGAAATTTTTTTTTATTTTCTGAATTGTTAATGTAAAAGGTCGTCGCTAATTAACGACGAAAGAAAATTCGTCGCTAATTTGCGACGAAAATTATTTCCGTCGCAAAATTCTATCACAAAAATAAAAATTTAGTCACAAAAAATTAGTGATAAAGGTATATTCATCGTTAATTTGCGACGGAAAAAAAAGTTTCCTTGCAAAATTAGCGACGAACTTTGGTCGCAAAAGTTTTTCATCTGCCCGCCCTCACCCCGAATCTCTCTCTCTCTCTCTGCTGATTCCTCAGATCCCCCCGGCTCGCTGTTCTCCCTCTCTCTCTCTCCCTTCTTTCGTTTCTCCGCTCCTAAACCTCCGATCAGATCCACCCCACCCCTGCTTCCGCTTCTCCTTCTCCTTCTCCTTCTTCACCCCCGCGCTTCCTCCCGCGACTCCTCCTCGCCCATGGCCTCCGGAGCCCTAGAGGCCGCGGAGCCCCAAGGGGCGGCGGCTCCTCCCCCCGTCGAGGGCAAGGAGGAATGGAAACGCAGAAGAACAGGTTCATCGAGGACTGGAGCACCGCGCGCGAGAACCTGGAGCACAACTTCCGGTGGACTCGCCGGAACCTCGCCCTCGTCGGCATCTTCGGCGTCGCCCTCCCCCTACTCGTCTACAAGGGCATCGTCTGCGAATTCGTACGTTACTCCTCCTCCCCCTCCCCCGATTGATTGGCGTGGCCTTTCGGATCCGTTACTTTCCTCTTGTTTTTATTTGGGGATTGTGAGCAGCTGCTGGTGGGGGGAGCAGCGTCGGCTGTTAGTGGCGGTGGGTTTGCAGGAATGGACGGTAAATGGACGAGCGGCGAGCTGAAGGAGACGGCGGGCAGCGTCGGCCGACCCGCGAGCAGTGGCTGGACGGGCGGCCACACCGCGAGCAGCGGCCGGGGGGAGCGGCCGACCACGCCACGAGCAGTGGCAGGGGGAGCGGTGGGCGGCCACGCCGCGAGCAGAGGCGGGGGGGGGGGGGGGGGTGAGGGGGGCGGATGGACGACGAGCAGTGACGGCAGCCACGCCACAAGGAGCGGCGCCTAGGGTTGGGACTCCATGGCTGGCGGCTACGGTTGGGAGAAGAACCGGTCTGCAATGCGAACCAGCTTTGCTAAAGATCCAGTTGTTAAAGCTAAAGTGAGGCCCTGAAGTGGCTGCTCGCGATCATCGCCCAGGGCTGCAACGTCTCCAACTTCTTCCCCCAGGTCGTCAAGAACGTCGCGTCCCAGTCCCTCGAAGTGAAGAAGCTCGTCTACTTGTACTTGCTGCATTACGCTGAAAAGTATGTGAATCGGATCGACTGATGTGCTCGAATTGAAAATGATCCTCGATTCCGATTGTTTTCGAGCTTTGAAGGGGCGTGCGTGATTGCTTTTGGGTAGAATTCTGTAAGGCATTGCTCGTTTCTCGCTAAGTTTGTGCTAATCGTGTTAAAGAAGTGGGATAATGTCACCCGTACTTGAATTTTTAATCACCTTGATGTGGATGATTGGATTTAGATGTTGGTGCTCAGCTGATCGTTCGCGTTTACTCTTTCTTGAAGCTTGTAGGCGTCCAAATGAAGCATTGCTTTCGATCAATTGTTTCCAAAGGGACTTGGGGGGCACTAATCCTTTGGTGAGGGTCTGGGCACTCTGTACAATGGCTGGAATTCGTCTTCATATAGTCGCGCCCCTCGTTCTTGTGGCCGTAAACAAGTGCGCGAGACATCCATCTGTTTATGTCAGAAAGTGTGCTGCTAACGCTGTTCCCAAGTTGTTCGACTTGCGCATTGAGGAAAATACTTCTGCAATCGAAGAGGTGGTTGTTTTCGCTTTTCAGTTTTCTGCAATTACTGTTTTCCATTGCTTTTTGTCTCGGCAAAATGCTTGGTGAGGTGTATATGATTTTTTGTTAGGGTAGGAGAAAGAACTCGACAGGTATGTGCACCTCGACTCTTCTTGTCCGTGCCATAAATTCTGAAAATTATTAAATAAGATTGAGGATGTGGTTCATCAAAATTGATTTCCCATTTTTCTCATTCATTTTATTTACTGCTTTTTTTTGTTGGGTTGGGGGGAGGGGGTGTTTCTCGTCCTTTTAATCAGCTCATTGCTAGATTAAATGCAAGCATGTACTTGGTATCTGGTTTACCAAGACTGTTTCCAGTCACATGGTGAAAGATAGCCTTCTATGCTTTCAGTTGCCATGTGGGAAGCTTATTTCTGTTTGTTGTCTATGTTATGCACCGTGATTTAGTTCCACTGCCTTGTCTTTCTAACATGTGATCCACATTTTGTATCATTAAAGAAATCATAGAACTACTCTCATTAAACAAAGAACAATGAGAATTGGCCAATACAATATGCAGGTCGTACATTGAAGGACCGGATGAATATCTATCACGTGCAACTTACATTAATATGGATTCACCGAAGTTAACTTCTGCAAGATATACATCTGGGAAAATTAATGATGATATTAAGATCTTACTTCAATGTACATCACCACTGCTATGGAGTTATAATAGTGCAGTGGTAGTTGCTGCTGCTACTGTACACTGGATTATGGCGCCAATGGAGGATGTCAAAAGGATAGTTAAGCCGCTTTTGTTTGTCTTGCGATCCTCTAATGCCTCAAGATACGTGGTGAGCCATTTTCTCGGGCACTCACATTGATGTATGTATGGAGGGCAGGAGGGTGGATGTGTCTGCATGTGTACACGTATACTAACTTGGTTGGCATCTCTATTTATTTGGTGAATTATCTGGTTGTGCCGTTGATATGGTATTAAGGTAATTTGTTTCACTACCACTATTGACCTGACATCCTGTTTATTTTTCTGTCCCAACCTATATGGTGAAGCAAAATGAGAATCACTTGACAATTCCCCAACTCCCTAGCTTAATACATGGTCTTTGAGGAGATTGTCTGACACTGCTTTCTCTTTTTTTGATGCTTAACAATATGAAGGTTGTTCTTGTGTTTGCGTTCTTGAACGTAAGTGAATGAGACTTAGGTCATGAATGTGACAGACATATGCAAGGTGAACATATTACTTGCTGATTCAATAGGAACAAAATTAAATGGTTATCGTGCAACATGAATGAGGATGAAGAATATAGTTAAAAGTAATATAATAAGGTACGCGCTAAATAAAGACAAGATAATCCGCAGAAGGCACCTGTTCTTATGTTACTTACTTTTTGAGATTGTGAATGTATCCTAGGTAGGTAGGCAAGTTAGTGGATTGTTTCAGCTAAACCTAGTATTTGCTATTATATGTGTCATTTGAAGCTCATTTGAGAGAATAGTTGATGATTCTCTGCGGTCCTTTTATGCAACATGGAGTTTTGCTGACAAAGTTTGTTTATGTGTGGATGCAGAGCTGATAAATGTTGGGCAGAAGCAAGATGCTCTGCAAGAACTTCACGATCTTATTACCTTGAAGAGATCCCGTGCATGGCAAAATACCCTTGAGAGGATTATGTTCAAGTACATTGAGCTATGCGTTGATATGCGGAGGGGGAGATTTGCCAAGGATGGTCTGATTGAGTATCGCATTGTATGTCAACAAGTGAATGTCACCTCTTTGGAGGAGGTGATGAAGCACTCCATGCAAATCTTACAGGAGAAAGCAGAGCAGGCGCAAGATTGAAAGTATCTTTTCATATATATTGGGGATAAGCTTTGCTTTAGCATCTGTTACGCCTCGAACCCCCGTCGAGCCCGCGACATTCCGCCTCCGGTCGAACAGTTGCGACGTCCCAGATTATCGCCGACCTCAACTAAACATCAGAGATTTAATCGCGCAAACAAAAACCATAAAACACCCAGACAAACTTAAACTGGGGAGAATTGGGAGAATATACATTTCCATTTCTTGTTCAACTTGTTCCACCATATATACAATAAAACAAACCTCTGACTACCAGTGCACACTTTACTGAAACTACCAAAATCAAAAAGGAGTCGATGACCTGACGTTCAACCTCAAAAATGGTTCTCATCCAAGGCAAGCTTTCCCACTTCTACAAACACGGTCGTCGTGTGTCTTATCCAGGTCATCCCGTCACCCATCGGAAACTCAGCTACCTCATACTCCGTATGCACTGGTACTCCAAAACGTACTGGTGGCGGTGGTGGAGGGTTTATCGCTCAGGTCGGGGTTCTGAAAATTGTTGATTTACACAACCATGAGATTATATCTCAGTAAGTACACTCCTAAACCCAACCTAGGCTATCACGTACCTCCAGACAATTACGCAATCACACACATTCACGTACATCAAGTAATCACAAAGCAGGCACATCAATTAATATGGTCAGGCTCAATCATGCGCACACCCGCACTCAATCACAACTACATCAGATGCAAATACGCGCATGTACCATTCTCATTCCACTGTTCCTTCCATCCTCATTCCTCTTTCATATTCCTTGCTAGTGACCCGCGTTGAAGTACACGCCTCGGGCACACTGCGATCATTCACCACATCCGGCCCGCGTACCTGTTCACACCTTAGGCCCCAATCGCGACCTGAGCATCACACGCCCCAGGCCCGATTCCAACTCAGCCCGCGCCAAATGCGACAGGCCTACATGATTGGAACCCGAGCTTATGATGCCTCGATCCAATCCCGGTCTCACTCGAGCTGATCGTGCCTTGGACCGATTCTCATACTTGCTTTTTCAAGCCTCAGCCTGTGCCAAATGCAACAGACCTACGTGATCGCTGCCTGAGTTTACGATACTCGACTCGATCCCATTCTCGTACTATCACACATTCGCATACTTTCCTACAATCACTTGTCACACCACAACTTCTCCTTACTCATGCACATACTCGATATGCATTTATCACACGCAACTGGCCCAACACACGCGATCCGTGTACGCGTCGAGTCACACGCAGATAGAGTTCACTCAACAATTCACATGGCCAATATCAACAATTAATTCAATCTGGCCCACGCGTGCACCAAACAGACATATGTCCACTATATAAACACACAAATAAGCACTCAATTAAATCAACCCCATCCAGAATAATTCAAACATGCCTAAAACACGTAAATTGCCAATTTTCTCCAACCAAATGGCGTCGGATTAATTCCGATCCTTCACGACACTTTTTGGCCATTAAATAATGGTTCTAAAAATCCAACTTGCGTCCCGAACAAATCATCACAGCCCGTGAACAGTAATTCGCAGCTCGTGAACAGTAACTCAGCTTGTGAACAGTAAATCACAACTTGTAATTCACCTCAAATTGTCCTCCAAAAATTCCAAAAATAATCCTCAAGGCCCGCCACAACATTCCAATCATAAACCCCAATATTTCACACCCGCATATTGTCAATTTCGCCACAAATCAAATTATCCGTCAATACCCAATATCCTAAATCGGGATTAAAGTGTGACTTACTAAGTTCTAGACTTAATCGGCTAGAACGGGAAGCGGCAGCACTCTACGGCGACGGCGTACGGCTCACAACGACGTCCGGCTTGAGCGGCGGCGGCGTAGGGCTTGCTTGGCCGTGGGTCTTGCCTCCACGGTGAGAAAGAGAGGGAGAGAGAGAAAAACGGTGGCTGGTGGTGGTGGCTTGGGGCTGATACGGTGGCTAGGCGGTGGCTTGAGGGCGGTCCGGCTTGCGGCGACGAGCGGCGGTGCCGGCGGTGGAGGAGGAACGACCAAAGGGAAGTCACGGTGGAGGAAGGGCTGTCCACGGCAATTTGGGAAAGAAGAAGAATGAAGGGAGAGAGAAAGATGACATCTTGACTCAAATAGTAACCTTGGACCAAATGTGGAAATGTCCAAATTACCCTTTCCTCACAATTTTAATCCAACGGTCCCGATTCGATCTTATCTTGATCCGACGGCCGAGATCGATTCTTGCACAAAAATATCCAAGGGCATACTTGTAATTTCCCAAAAATCCAAGGGTAAAATTGTCCAATCAAAATTTTAGGGCAAAATTACCAAAATGCCCTTTTACCCTTAAAGCTTGCCCTTTAATAAATCCTAGGGGTATTTTGGTAACTTCCTCCGTTTCTTGTCCAAATCGAATTTTTCCGAAGGATTTGAGCGCACCAAAAATTCGCACGTGTCACGTGCAACATCGTCCTAACGTTCCGGCGTGACTTCCTAATTTTCCGGTGTCCAATTTGGGCAAAAATTCAATAATTAAATTCTATTAAACGCAACTCGAGCATTTCTCGAGCTAAGGGGCGGCTTGCTGGGGAAATTCGCAAAATCGACTCATGATTGATACTAAATCGAGTCACGTGCAAGTCCGTTCGGTGCGTGACGACCTCGGTCATCATTAAAATCGCGAAGATCAATCACTTGATCCGAGGGGTACGATCGTTCGGTATAATTTCAGAATCATTCATCAAGTCGTTTCGTGGTTCAACGGAATCACCCGCGATCCACTACTAGAACAGTGGCGAACTGACCCCTAATTATCCTTGGATCGGCCAATAGTGGCTCAAAATATCACTTCCGCGATTTAATGATCGAAATCCATTCACGATCGAATTTCCTTTAGTCGCGCGAATTTAATTCCCCTATTAGCCTTTCCCTAATAGTTAGCATTCCCATGAATGATCAATTCCGGGCGAAAAATTACTACAAGCACATTTCATAAAACTCAGTTATTTCATAATTTCCAATTGGCGGAAATTTCGGAATGTCACAATCTTCCCCTCTTATAAAATTTCGTCCTCGAAATTTACAATCTTACCACTACTAAGAATTTACAATTCCTTACTGTTGCTCAAACAATTGGGGGTATTGACGTTGCATCATTTCTTCGCTTTCCCAAGTTACGCCTTCAGTCCCGTGGTGCTCCCAGATAACCTTTACCATCGGGATTGACTTGTTCCTCAGAACCCGTTCCTTCCGATCTTCAATCATGATCGGTCTCTCGACGTACGATACTTTATCATCCATTTCTATTTCTTCGTAATTCAACACATGCGTCGGATTCGGTTCGTACTTCCTCAACATCGATACGTGGAAGACATTATGCACCTGTGACATGTTTGGCGGTAACGCAAGGCGATACACCAAATCTCCAATCCTTTCTAGCACTTCGAAGGGTCCCACATACCTCGGACTCAACTTCCCCTTCTTACCAAATCGGGACAATCCTCGCATGGGCAACACTTTTAGAAATACGTGATCCCCTACTTGGAATTCCAGAGGTCTTCGCCTTCGGTCCGCATAACTTTTCTGACGGCTCTGCGCTGTCCTCAACCTTTCACGAATGATCTTAACTGCTTCAATCGACTACTCAATCAACTCCGGCCCTGCTATAGCTCTTTCTCCCACTTCGTCCCAACACACGGGTGTTCTACAAGCACGACCGTAAAGCGCTTCGAAAGGCGCCATTCCTATGCTCTGCTGGAAGCTGTTATTGTAAGCAAACTCCACTAAGGGCAGTTGCTCTTTCCATTTACCTTGAAAATCCAGCACACATGCCCTGAGCATATCCTCTAGCGTCTGAATCGTCCTCTTAGACTGGCCATCTATCTGAGGATGATAAGTTGTACTGAACTGCAACTTGGATCTTAACGCCGTCTGCAGACTTTTCCAAAAATTGACGGTAAACCTAGGATCATGATATGATGTTATAGACACTGGTACCCCATGCAGGTGAACTATCTGTTGCATGTACAACTCTGCATACCATTCTAATGCGAAATCCTTTCGCACTGCCAAAAAGTGTGCCGACTTGGTTAGTCTGTCGACAATCACCAAATAGTGTCATGGCCTCTTTGACTTCTCGGCAATCCCGACACAAAATCCATAGTTATATGTTCCCATTTCCACTCTGGGATTTCCAAAGGTCGCAACAATCCTCCAGGCTTGCAATGTTGCGCTTTCACCTGCTGACACGTCAGACACTTAGCCACGTGCTTAGCTATATCCGACTTCATACCATTCCACCAATAAAATTGTCTCAAATTTCTGTACATTTTAGTATTGCCTGGGTGGATACTGTACTGACTAAGATGCGCTTCTGACAAAATTTCTTCCTTAACTCCCGCATCGTCTGGCACGCATAACCTCCCACGAAATTTCAATACACCGTCCTCGGATACCTGAAAATCCGGTTTTCTTTTAATGGCGTCCATCCCCATAACCTTTTGTATCTCTGGGTCCGTAGACTGCAAAACTTTAACTTTAGCTTGGATTTCCGGCTCAATCCTTAACGTCGCTAATAGGCTCGAGACTCGACTTACTTCCAACTTGAACTCGAAATCTCGCACATTCTCCAACAGGATCCACTCCTTGACCATTAAATGCGCGATGCTTGATTTCCGGCTCAACGCATCCGCTACTCGGTTTGCTTTTCCAGGGTGATATAGAATATCACAATCATAATCTTTTAACAATTCCATCCAACGTCGCTGCCTCATATTCAACTCTTTCTGCGAAAATAAATACTTGAGGCTCTGATGGTCAGTATAGATCTGAAATCTCTCTCCGCATAAATAATGTTGCCAAATCTTCAAGGCGAACACTATTGCGGCTAATTCAAAGTCATGCGTCGGATAATTCAATTCATGTGGCCTCAACTGCCTGGATGCATAGGCTACCACTCACCCATGTTGCATCAACACACACCCTAATCCCTTCAACGACGCATCACTGTATATCTCATACCCTCCAAGTCCTGATGGAAT